ATTATTTTCTGAGAATTTCCCTAAAAATACTATTCTCCGTGCTTCCTGCAGAATATTCTGTGAAATACATATGCCTCCTCCTGTCCCTATCTGCAGACCACTTACAGAATGAAATCACTGGAGTGATTTCAGGTGCTAATGTGGATCTGCCCCAATATATCTAGGATTAATTAAGGACACCAATGGGCTTCTAACTACAAGTTTACTAATTTCTCAGAAGGTACAAATAAACCATTCTGGATTTTACCCTCTTCCCTTTGAATCTCCAAATCCTGTATAGACATTTCCATGACCCTTTCCCAATAACAAATTGCTGTGCTAAACTCTTTCTCATTTTTACTATGTTCTTTTTATTGTAAAGCCTGGTCAAAGACTGTAATAAAAAATTGATATTTTATTTGACATGTCTATGACATGATCAGAAATACAGTTCAACTCAAGGATAACTTCATCTTGGATATCCTTCTTTCATAGTAATTTATGCATTAACCTCAGATGAATTTTCTCAGAAGGTAATTTTCCATGAAATGTTTTTGAAAATGTGGTTTCAAAAATACCACAAACTAGATGGCTAATTTGGGGAGTTCACTTTCTGCTTAGATGTAGCATGTAGCACATGCTTTAAAGCTTTCTTTCCTAGCCTAATGCTTTCCAGATACATTCAAATTACAACCTTCAAAATTCCTACTAGTGATCACTCTTGCCCAATTTATTACTTTTTAGGGTAGGGGGAGTTGGTTATCAAGACCCAAACACATGGGAGGATCAGCTACCAGTTGAACCAGGAGGAACCTGTTCTGGGTCACGTAACTCTGTTCAGTTGCTAATTGCACTTGAGAGAGGATGGGAGAAAAGGTGACAACCAGCTAGACGCAATTCAATAAGCACTCCAGAAGTGGTGGAGTCTGTCCTCACCAGGACAACAAAGCACTGTTCTATACAGCTCACTTCAGCACAAAGAATATGTTTTGTGATTGCCACACTCAGAGCACATGACCGATACCAGGACAGATGGAAGATACTTGGCCTCAAGCCAACTTGCTGCCTGGTTGTAATTTAACTCTTCACCAGTCTTCAAAGGCAGCAGTTCTAATAGGGAGCAATGGTGTGTGAGAACTGAGAAGGAACACAGGTCTCTGGATCTCTTGGATGAGGGAGGTCCCGATCTTCCATGTTTTCTTCACTATCTGGTTGAAGTTTATGACAGGATCTTAATCATACCAAAGAGCAAAGAGCTATTCTCCAGGTTATAGATGGCTTTTCTTTTTTGACCCGTGAATCAGATAGCAACTAAACAAGAACAGAATGAGTCTAATGATTAGTAGTTCTGCACTCATTATAGTAGTTGTTGTGGTTCCAGATATCTATTATCACTTATTTGTTAATATCACAGTTCTGTGGTAAAAATAAAATGGGTGCATCAAATGAGGAAAACATGTCCACTATTATGGAATCTCTTGGTTGCATACAATAGATGTGGTTTCAGAAGTCACATTCACATATTCAGAGGCAACTGCATTATCACTATTATCTAATTAGTTTCACACACAAAAATCAGGTTAATAAACCATAAGTGCTGCATTCACATGGCACATGATGCAAACAAATTGTGGTTTAACAGGATTGCTTAGCTAACACAACATGCTAAGGTAGTGGCTGAATTTCCACAAAACACTGAACCGTAAATTATCTAATTTAATTTTAACCTGGTTTAGCAGGTTGTGTGAACCAGGCATATTCTATAAACTTTCCACAGAAGGATGTTTTAAAGTTTCGCTCTGAAAGGAGCTGGTAAGTTACAGAGAGAGTAAAAAGTATTACAAGATCTATCAATCAGCTTCCACAGTTCCACAATATAAATTGGACCAGTAAAAGGTGTGAAAATTTAATGCACAGCAAAACAGCTGATTTATGAAAATGAGCAAATAATAATTTTTTAGGACAGGAGAAGAAATGTGTGTTTATTCTTTCTCATATTTTCAGCCTCCAAAGACTGCAAAAGACATTCCACTATATCTAAAATAAAAAGGGGTATTAATCCCAATAGAAGTTTAGTTCAATCTGTACCATTGAATTCTGATGGTTTATTGCTGCAATCATGAGAAATCATGAAGCAAAAAAAAAAGCAAGGTGCCTCCATGTGATTTATGAGCTTCAGATTATTGAGGAAGATAGCTCCATGCCTAGATTAGACAGAGATCTAACCACTTTAATGCTGTTCTTACAATGTGTATAAACAAAATCCTTCCAATAAACTTGTAAATAATCATGACCAATCCAACTACTACATCCTCACTGCACAAGTAGTTCCATTCCAAGTCAGTTTCAGCTCCTGATGGACAAATCCATATGATTTTAGCAACATTTTCAAAGCAGTTTTCCATTTTTCTTGTTCTAAGATTGAATTCCCAGTCTAGTCTACACTTTAAGATTTTCTGGTGGTCTCCAATTCTAATATTAATCTCCCATCTTGCTTGGCTCAGACAATAATTGGATGTGTGCTGCCACCTGCTGAGACAAGTTCTTACTATATCCTGTTTGTAACTCTTCTGAATTAAAAAGCGGGGATTAGAAATGAAAATTAAGATTACCAACCCTTAAATAGTACAAGATTGTACCTCTGGTTTGTACTGTAGGGTGCTACATGAAAATAGTAACATAGAGAATCCTGCTTCCCCGATAAGTATATTTTATTTGTGAAATAAGAGGCATTAGCTACTATTAGCTATTTCTTTCTTTGAGAAAGAAAGTCAGTTTAATTCCATATATTACTGTCAACAGCTTTGTATATAGGAAGGCAGAAGCAGGAAGAATTTTCTGTTCTTTCCCTCATGCAGGAAATAGCTAATGATTAAAATAAAGTGGCCTCTTGCTTGCCTAAAAGCTATTAATATTTATTATACTACTAATCCAGTCAATAACTAAAATCCTTTGGATGAACTAAAAGTTAGTAAAAACATTTTTATATTTTATGAATATTAAATAAATACACAGTAAATAGCACCCCAGACAGCTTAAAGCCTACATTCATTTTTATGAATATGGATTGGTCTTGCAATGCTGAACAAAATGCTCAATATTCAAATGATTTCCTTTACTAAAACATCTTTTTTTAGAGATAATGGAGAATGAAAAGGCAAAGGGAAGAGCTTTGAACAATCATATTTGAATTTTTTCTATTTCTCTGGAACAGTAGTTCTCAGTTTGGTCTTAGTGTTAGCATTAAATGGAATTTTAGACTTCATTATTAGCCTTTTAATAAAGGTGATATTAGCATTTTAGCATGGCATCCATATTTCTTTATTGAAGTTGAAGAAAACAGGTTTCCCTTTAACCCAAGTCATTTCTTCTTTTGATAGCAAGAACCAACCTTTTCAGCAATTAAACAATTGGGAGCATATTCTGGAGATCCTTGAATACAGATATTCCTCAACTTACAACTGTAATTGAGCCCAGGAATAAAATTGTGAAGTCACTATAGTTGTAAGTCAGCAATGATTGGAAGTAATTTTCCAGACTTTTTTTCAGCAATTGTTGAGGAAACATGATGGTCATTAAGCAAACATTGCAATTGTTAAACAAACACGCTGGTTGTTAAGTGACCCAATTCATCTGAATGGGCATATTTTGCAGGAAACTGGCAAAAAACATCACAAATTGTGTTCACATGACCCTGCCACAACCAGTCATAAAACTGAGCCGCCTGACATGCACTCATCAAATGTGAGAACCAACATGAAACTATGTTAAAAAAGATACCAATTGGACTGGAAGAAGATGACAAAACCCATAAATTTGCCCTTTGAGGAATATTTTCTAGGATCAATGTTTTCTATTGTTTTGTTCTCATGTTTAATAAAGGTCTGTTTGATTTGTTGCTTTCTGGTGCATCACATATAGCAAATGTTAACATTTGTTTCTATACCCTATAAAAAGATGTGATATAACCCCTCTCCCCCCACCAATAGATGGGTTTGGTTTTTTTTGCCTGAATTATTTGGTGATTTGTATTTGCGGGTGGCCAAAAAACCCACATACTTGGCAGAGGTAAAAGCATTTTCCTCTCCCAAATTCAGGAAATAGGTTTTCAGCTCCACATAAACATGTTGCCTGAGAAATTTCTAGACAACATCAGGACCCTTTATATTCTTAAAAATGATTGAGGACCCTAAGAAGCTTTGGTTTTATGTGGATTATATCTATTGATATTTACTGAATTAGAAATTAAAACTAAACTTTTTTTTTTACAATATTTGACTTCGTGGACCACTTGAAAAGGTCAGAGACATCCAGGCATCCCCAGGCCACATCTTGAGGACCCCTGCCCTAGAAACAATCTCATTGAACTCATCTCAAAAAAGTTACTTCTCAGATGAGAGACTTCAATATTGCAGATAAAAATGAGATTGGGAAGTTGTGTATCTTGCAGAACAGAGCAATGGCATTGCACTTCAGTACTGCCTGAAATCAACAGGCATGGCATGGATGGGGTTCAGTTTCCAAGAGACTTTATCTTGACTTGTGGGGAATCTTTTTTTTCCCTAAGAAAACCTTTCACCGCTATCCATCATAACGTTTTCCTGGATATTTTATATGTATTTTAGAAGTATTATTTGAAAAAAAGAGTTTTGTGCAATTCCGAAACTTGGCTTTACAATATTAGCAACCAAACATGAATAGGAGCATTGGTAGCTCCCTCTGGTGACAGACAAACCCCAGTGGGCGTGTCCCACAAAGCCGGAAGGGACAATTACTTTCTTCTATAGAGCGGGTGAGAAACGGCATGGCCCTTTTGACTTGTGGACTTCAACTCCCAGAATTCCCGAGCCAGCATGGAACCTACCCGTTCTACGGCATCGGACACCTTAGCAACCGACCCGGCAGTAGATCTGCGGCTACGCCCATTCATTAATTGTAGTCTCTTTGTCACCTTGGTGACGGCTACTCCCGGCCAATGATGCTTCGCTTTCCGCTTTCTCCTTTGCGCAGGACGCGGGCCCAGACACTCCGATGTATCGCAGCCCGGGAAAGAAGGGGTTTCGCGGGCCGCGCCACGATGTAAGAGCTCGGGAAGGGAGTGGAAATTGGCAAGGGGAGAGCGAACCGCCTGGAAAGGCCTGGCCGGTGCATGAAGCCTCCATGTTCCCGGTTGTGATAGGATCATGGACCGGATGTAGTCATCATAGAGATGTAAAAGGATAGTAAAGGCTAATAGCCTCCCCTTTTTCGGCGGTCAGATGCGATGGGGCGGTAGAAATGGTCTCCATGAAAGTCAGACCAAAACTGACCTAGGCAAGAAAACCCCATATTATTGCCATATATCCCCTTCATCTCCTGGTCTCCGCATCGAAGCAAAGGGGGATGATGCTGGTTCTGGATAATGGTGACTTGTTGGAGTCCTGTAAACTAAGCCGCCGCCACAGTTAACATGTCAGCATATTTTCGTTTCCAACTTTAAACAATAATGTTTCGTATCAACCTAAAATTTAAAGCAGGCCAGCTTCAAATGGCATTTCAAGAAAAAGTTACGGACATGGAAGTGGAATAAATGAATATAAATATAAATCTATTCCTACATTTACCAACAATGCTATATTGCTGTTATTACATAGTTTGGTGTTTAGTTATTCTCTTCTTTTATTCTTACACATAATAGTTTGACAGTTCAATAGGTTGATGCCTGGTCTGTGTCAACAGGAGAAAGTAATGCATCTTTCATAACTGATTTTGTTTGATCCTAAAATCTTCTTAAACTTATAGGGAAGCTTTTAGAGATTGTTCCTTAAAATGAAATGTGGTGCCCTTTTACCTGGAATTTGTGCAGTGCCCTGCTGTTTCCTGTCTGAAATACCTGTACAATGGTTACCAGTTTGGTTGTAACAACTCATAAGACCATTAGATGGCACCATACAGATGCAGAATATTTTCAGGTGATTCTGTTTTAAAATGCTGCTATTTATTGATTCCTTTGAAATGGATTTATGTTGATAGTAAGCTGCCTCAGAGACTCCTGGGGGGGGGGGGGGGGGAGATAGAGCATCAATAACCAAAATCATGTTTATAGTCTGCTTATTCTACCTTACTGGTCCTTATAGAAGCTTTCAGATTTTGCAAAGAAACCCACAAGCAGGGCACAATTAAAATGACTTTTTTTTTTTTTTACAATACCTCATGTAGAAGGTGACTTCCTGAAGAACCTTCCTGGAGATTCCTTTTAGCTAATAGTCATTCATAAATCTGTCCTAATATTAATTTGTCTTTATAAATCTTGCAAACCTTGCTACTAGTCTTAGCTGAAAAAAATTAAGGCCGTGGGATGGCAGCAAGGAGGGTTTCTAGTACATATCTCAGGTACTATCTGGCACTTTGTGGTCATCCACATTTTTGCAGACCTAACTAGCCTAACCATCAACTTGATCGTGGCTTTTTTTTTTTTTTTGTAGGCCAGTGCCTCTATCATATGCCATTTTTG